TCAGCCACTATCTGGGCCAAGGGAGTGTTTTCAGTATGTCATAAAATATCTGCCTCTAATATTGACCCTAATGTGGCTTCATGAATACAGAATGGCCCGAAAATCTCTCTCTGTATTGAGGCAGGTTTGGTTAAAGCTGATATAAATAACTTTCCGTCTTTTTTAGGAATATCCATCATTAACTCACTTGCAGAAAAGACTTGCACCACCATCAGCCACCTCCTGAAGCATGGACCCAGATACTCTTCCCCACCCTTTCTTCCTGGTGATTCTATATCTCCTAACTAAAGGACAGACATCCCTGCTGAAGGAAGGAACTTTTAAAAATTTAGACCCTCTTGTCACAAGACAGCCCCTTTTTTCTGGACCACAATTACTTGGATTTATCTATTTTTTTCTTTACAAAATCCTTTTAGCTTTTGGGTTCTAGAGAGGAGTCCAGCAGCCTCTCCAGTGACCACTAGTGGGCCCCACAGCCTTCCAACCACAGGTTATGAATGGACTAGAGACAGTTCAAAATCCAATATGAATGTTACTTTGGTAATTAGATTTAACACCTTTTGAGAAATTAGTTTTATTAGTAAGAGGTCTTTTTGAACTAAATGATTCAAATCTGAGACATTTGATTTGCTATGAAGTAAGGCCGCCACTCAAGCTGTAGCCTCCCATTTTCTCCACTCTCCTCAAGCCAATTTTATGTATTATTAATGTTGTTTATGCAACAAAAGTAGACTTGTAGGGCCTTGTTGAATATAATACTTTCACATAAATTTCTTTAAAAGTAAAAGCATAGGAATAATTATCAGGACTGTTTGCTAATATATGCTCTTGCTCATCCATACTTTGGGTAAACCTAGCCTTTTGTCAAACATCAAAAAACTCAACTTGGTAACAGGTGAATTCTTGCCTAAGAAGAAATAAGTAGTCACTGAAATATCAGTCAATTAACCCCAAGCCTATGATGTAATGCCAAATAGTACACTCTTTGATTCAGTAAACCATTTAGAAAATCACTAACACAAGGACTGTATCAGTACTTGCTTTCAGTCGTGAAAGTATAGATTGTCAGACTCTTACTCCGGTTGAATCCTTTATCTATATCAAATTAGAAGTCAACATAGACCCTAAAAGCTACCTTGGTTGATGTGGAGGTGTGGCCTGGAGTCCTGTTGGCTCCATCTCCCTTTCTTCTCATAAGGTGACATCTCTAAGTACCCCAGGCTCCACCAAGCTCAATTAGAAACTTCTAGGTTGCAGCATGATGGTAATGATTTCAGTGGCCACGGGGACCATAAACTAACCTCTCATGTCTACAAACACAAAAACCCCTGTGGTGTGAAGTGGATGTGTAGTTGGTGCTCAATAAAAAGAAATTATTTTTATCACTACACTTAACCATCATTATTGCAAGTGTGCACCTGTATTACAAATAAGAGTGAGTATACAAAATCTCTCCAAATGATAACTGTACACCCTGTTTGTGAGTCAACTAGATCACCTTTGTCCATATGCACACTTCATTCTACTTAAACAGAGACAGGAAGTACCTCTTAATCATGTTATTAATGAGGCTGACTCATGTGCCATGGAGTCAGGCAGGAAGCCCTCTCAGTACCCTTCCAGCCCTGAGTTTCACATTCCCCTGTGTTAGAACAGCAACCCAGATGGACATGTAGCAAATTACTGTCTCAGAATACAGCCCCCTCTCTCTGTAATGTTGTAGAATTTTTGCACCTTCCCATAGTCAAAATTTCCTCATGAATTTTTATTCCTTGGGAAGATTAGTCTCTGCCTTTCTTTCTCAACTCTTTTGATCTTCCATCTGAAACCATGTGAGACTCAAGTTTAGAACTAGGATTTGGATCTAAATATAAAGTGGTAGGCAAGAATGTAGTGGCAAAATGTTGTCCTGAATTTTAAATCAATCAATAAAAAGAAAATATGAATTTATGTGGAGAAAAGATGATAAAAGATTTCAAAGATGTGGGAAGAAGTGATTTCTTTATAATCCTCTCCTCTGTCTTCATACCTCTAATCCCCAACACCACCACATTCCTTTTGAACAGGCCACCTCGTCTCCTACTTTACAGAGAAAATCAAAGCCACAGGCAAGAACTGCCTCAAGCTCCTGCCACTGACCCTGCAAATGCACCGGAATCTGCACTCTCCTTTCCTCTTTCCCTCCCTTCCAATGAAAAGGCACCGCTGCTCCATGCCTGATCACCTCACCTGGACCCCTCGGTTCCCCCTTCCCACCTCCTCAGTTCTTAGTTCCATCAATTATCTCCTCTTCCTTCTTCATACACCCACTCTGCTGCCTCCTTCTTAGCAGCATTTCAACATGCTCAAGTGTCTCCTGAGTCAACGGCACGCTCCAGCCATTGACCTTTTCCTCTGCTTCCCTTCAGGGTCAAGCTAAGTTGAGGGAGTTGCATCTCCATTCGTGAATTCCTGTTCCTCACCTCCCATTTGCTCCACACAGAGAATGCCCTACAAGGTCACCAACAGTTCCCTGTTGCTAAATACAATAGACACCTTTGACTTTTCAAAAGAATCTAAACTTTTGAAAAAGTATTCTTATAAAAAAAAAACAAACAAACATCCATTCAGTCAACAAGTATTTATTGAGTTCCTACTAGTGCCGGCAACTGAGGATGTAGCAGTAAACAGGTGCTGGCCATCAGAGTTTACATTAGGGGGAAAGATGAGCCAAACATTAAACAAGTAAGTAAATGAATGAGATAATTCCAGAGGATAATAAGTGCTACAAAGACAAACGAAACTTAGAGTGATGGAATAGAGAGTAACTGTGGAAACGGCACTGAATTTTCACAGGAAGCATCTCTGAGTGATGTTTGAGCTGACAGCACCTATGCAAAGATCCTGGGCCAGAACATCGCAGACATCAAGAGCAGAGCCCCAAGAAGGGCACGAGCACCAAGTGTATATGACAACAGATTATTTACACGTACAAAAGAAGAGAACAGAGAGATGGCACAAAAGTGCAGTCTTGCTGGGTAGGGAAAGGGCTTCTGAATCACGGGCAGAGTGGACCAAGCCCGGAAGAACAATGAGCCTTTCACTGTTATGGGCATGGTCTCCACCTCTTCTTCAGTGGCCTCCTAAATAAGAAAAGTGTTGGGGGGGGGGGGGGGGGGGGGGGGGGGGGGGGGGGGGGGGGGGGGGGGGGGGGGGGGGGGGGGGGGGGGGGGGGGGGGGGGGGGGGGGGGGGGGGGGAGCAGTTGGGGGAAGGAGCTATTGCCTGCATCTTTCACTCTTCAATGCCAACTTCTGGAGTCAATAAACAAATCAGCCAAGTTTGGGCTTAAAACAAGCCAGGATGATTTCTAAGTGGACCCAGCTACAGTCTGAATAGAGATGAATCTAATTCAACCCCTCTCCTCCAACTCCCCAACTCTGGGCTGAGTAGGGAAAGCAGCCCAAGAGGGGCTCCCACAGGCTACTGCTGAGTATGCAGTGGAACCCTAAGTCAAGGCCACGCCCTAGAGGGGTATGTTAGAGTGCCATCAGTGATCTGCTTCAGTGGTTAGGGTCCTCAGGGGACTAACATGTCACGAGCTGACATGGGACTTGGAGGGGCTGTCCAGTATGGGTGCCTGAGAGAGACAATGAGAGCCCAAAGATATTCTTCCAAAGCTAAGTTCCCCAGCACACACATACACACACCCCACTCTGCAAGAGCACAGGATGATCTGAGGATCCTCCACTTGACCCAGGGGGCAAACTCCCTCCCTGAGCATGTGTGTTTGTGTAGAGGACGTGGTGGAACCAGGTGGAGTGGGGCTGGGGGTTAGTTTCTATGACCCTGATTAAGAGCCCATACTCAAGATTGAAGTTCTTCCCCAGAGTTTGGAGCTACAGGATAGTGAGAGCAAAATAGAGAGGAGAGATGGGAAGTCAACCCCCAACCCTGCTCCGTTATAACTGGGCTCAGACTCCCTCACTCCATGGAATGGCCTCCTGCAAGAGAGGGAAGTCTTGGACGGCTTCACCTCCCCTAACTCACCCCTGCCCCACTTAAGCCTCCTCTTCCCCAAGGCCAAGCTCCTCTCGCAGTTTTCCTAATTCCACTACACCATCAGATGGAAACATGGAGGAGCCAGCCAGGGAAAGAACTGAGGGACCAAGGCGCAGCCCTCCCCAGGAATGTGGGGGGTTGTGATCTGATGAGTCTTCTGGTCTTGTGAAGGTGCCCTGGGCCCATTGGCCTGTGTCTGGAGAGGGGGAGGAATAGGATCCTTCAGAACAAGGGACTGGGGCAGGACATCCTGGTTGAAGACAGAAAACTTGCCCGAGGTTACACACTTTGAAAGCCATCAGTTCTGGAGTCGGGACCATACAATTGGGCTGGACAAGGCTCAAAGGCAGTGCCTTAAAGGGTTGCTCTCACGCAGGCTGAAACAGGAGATGTTCACAAAGCCCCTGTGAGGGGTGGCAGGGGCCTGAGGAGCGGGAGGGGCTACTTCCTCGTGCCTTTTCTCTCTGCTTCTGACACAGCAGACGGACTACATCTGACATGTGATTTAGACAACTCATACGCTGTCTGGGGATTTCTTTACATGTCTGTATTATATGGCAGCCTAAAGTGTTACTCAGAAAATAACTTGGAACTTCCCCTGAGCCAGTTGTGGCTCGGTCTATGAGCTGGTACAGGGAACTAATTAAGAAGGCCAATGAAAACCAAACAGCACAGGATAAGAGAGGAACCCAGATGGAGAATTCATTACAAAGAAGGTCAAGGATCTAAAGTCAGCCTCAGCGACAGGATGCCAGGGTCAGAAGAGAATAAAGATATAGAGGACAACGCGTCAGCTGGCACTCGAGCCATCCTGACTCAAAAACCTTAGGAACCTCTGCATATCCTGGGGAAGAAAAGACTGCAGGTGAAACTAACAGAGCCGTGCACTGAGCTCTGGAGACCAGCAGTGCTGCTGGGATGCACCAACTGGAGCATAACACACAGAGATGCCCCTTCTCACCTCCAGGCAGGCTGCCCCAGGACCCTCCTGCCATGGGGACTGTGGGCATCGGCAGTTGCCACATCAGCAGGTGTCTGCCCCTGCATCATATTCAAAACTGGATAACTTGTCTCAGGACAGGTGGGTTGTGAAGCAGTGAGCCCAGGAGCTGAGGCCTTCCATTCACTTGAAACTCCTCCTGGGTCACTTCTTCTTTGCAGCTGGTTTGATCCTCCTTTTCAATCTGGTTTACAAAGAGAAAAAAAAAATCCACGACGTTGGTAAGTGATGTACACTCTCCTCTTGCGCTCAGTTAATATAATTATGAATTTGGAGACTATCTTTGAAGTTATTTTTATTCTGGGAAATCCAGCCTTAGAATCCTTCTCTTTAATTTCTCAATTCTAATAGTCTCTGGCCAAAATTAATATGATTATTTTTTTCCCTGGCCTAAGTTTAGGAAAGATATTCTATTAAAATTCTCCTATTTTTACGTATAATAATTATTGCTTTTCTGGGTAATCATTGTAGATAATTTTGAAATATAGAAAAGCACAAAGGATATCAAAGCACAACCCATTCCATTCTTGGGAAAAAAAAGTTTTACTACTCATAGAAGTAAAGACGCAAATGTACATGCATTTACAGAGTGTATGTACTCACATTATAATATTGTGACCACATTGACATGTTCCTATTTTGATGGGGAACAGACTGTGTTCACAAAAGAGATAAACAGTATCCAATAAAGACACTATAAATATGTGGCCCCAGATAAGCACTGCTTACAAACTTATCCAAATGAAGTGTTGTATGATATCAACTTCAGTTTATTTAGACAGCAGAACTCTACGTGACTGCCTTTGAAATAAGGCCACATTGAATAGTTTCAGAGCATTATCAAAGTTTTAGAGAACAACACACACAAGATATATGCTTTAGGACTGTGGTATACTTTTATTCTAGAGACCAAACTTATAGGAATCACAGCTTTTCTTGTAATTTGAGGGGTAGAAAAAATTAGAAATAAAATTCATATTCGGGTATTAATGATAGCATTTGTATCAAATTATGTATCAAGATAAAAATGCTGATGCCCTTCAAACTAGATTGACGACAGGAAAAATAAAGAAATATTTTATTGAAACTTATAGTGTGAATCATAGCCCAGAGGGTTGGAATACATCCCTTGAAATTTGGAGAGGGAATCTTTACATTTTCTGAATTGCCTCTGTGATCTCCAGACATGGGGCAGCCTGTAAGTATTAGAACTCTCCATAGATCCTGCTGAATATAAAACCTAGATTCTGAGACTAGCATGGAAGCCCACAGATCCCAGGCATCACCCCATGCAATCAGCCATGGTGGCATCTTAGATAATATGAGCATCTAAGTGTCTCACTGGCACTTTACTCACTGGCAATGGCAGCCACAGTGATGGCAGTGGGCATGGCCGAATTATGCAGCAACAACCCCTGAACTCAAGTCAACTAGTGGAGGGAAGTAAGTTGGAGAGAATCTGCTAGTAGTTAGGAATAAATGACACAATGTACCCATTAAACAGCAGTTCTAATCATATCCACTTACCTAGAACAATACGATGAACTAAACACTTAATGCTACTAATGAAGCAGACAATATCCTCATTTTACAGATGGGAAAAATATTGCTTTGAGAGAATAAGGAACTTGGGCAAAGGGAATCCACAGGCAGCAGAGCTCTGGCTCAAACGTGATGCCAGGGTCCTGGCTGTTCCCACTGTGGCAGACTGACGGCGAGGTGTATTTTCACCTTATTCAGTCAATAACATCAGCCAAGCCCAACTCATGCACATTCCAGCAAGGGAGTGAGTGAAGGTGTCTGAAACATAGCAATGGAAGTACCATGGGAGCCCAGGAAGAGGGCAGCACCTGCTCAGCAATAAGTGTAAAGGCTCTCAGAAAGTTCATAGAAAGATTCGCATTACTTTTTATTTATTTATTTACTTTTTTGGTGGCTGGCTGGTACAGGGATCCGAACAGTTGACCTCGGTGTAATCAGCACCACACTCTTCCAAGTGAGCTAACTGGCCAGCCCGTTCATATTGTCTTTTAATTCTATTTTTCTGTGAACTTTTTGAAGTACCCCCATATTGTAGAACTTGACACACTGAAAACTTATATGCAAAAGTAAAGGAAATAGTATAATCAAAACAATTTCAAAAATGAAAAACAATGTTGGGAAATTCACACTAGCTGATTTCAATACTCACTATTAAGCTACAGTAATAAAGTGTGGTTTGGGTGAAAGGAAAGATACATAAATTAATGGAACAGTATAAAAAGTCTAGAAATAAACCCACACATATATGACCGACTGATTGATTTTTGACAAAATTGCAAGGTAATTCAGCAGAGAATCTTTTAAATGAATGGTGCTGGAACGATTGGATAACCATATACAAAAAAAATTGAACTTCAATCCATACCTCACACCATTTATCAAAAAAAGTGGATAATGGTGCAAATGTAAAGACAAAAATTTAAATTTTCTAGAAGAAAACATGGGAGAAAATCTTTGTGACCTTGTGTTAGGAAAAGATCTATTACATATAACACAAAAACTATGACCCATAGAAAAATTTTGATAAATTTGACTTTGTTAAAATTTAAAACTTTGGTTCTTCATGCAACATTGTTAAGAAAATGAAGAGGCAAGATACAAACCTGGGGAAAATATTTGCAAAACATCTTTTTTTTTTTTTTTTTTGTCTTTTGTCTTTTTCCGTGTCCGGCAACGGATCGCAACCCTCAGTGTTGCCCCCGTACCGGACCGGGGACCGGCAACGGGATCGCAACCCTCGGTGTTGCTCCCGCGCCTCGCTCAGCCAGTGAGCGGGAACCGGTCCGTATGTGGGATCCGAACCCTCGGTCGGGAGCGCCGCTGCGCTTCCCAAGCGGCGCACTATCCAGTGCGCCACTGGGCCGGCCCGCAAAACATCTTTTTGATGAAGAACTTGTATCCAGAATATTTTTAAACCTCTCAAAACACAATAATAAGAAAACAACTCAATATAAAAAAGATTTGAGCAGACACTTCTCCAAATAAGTGTCTGGTGGATGATCTGTAAGCTCATTAAAAGGTGCTCAACTTCATTCATCATTAAGAAAATGCAAAATTAATACTACAGATACCACTACACATCTATGAGAATGAATAAAATTTTAAAAGCTGGCAATACAAAGTGCGGACAAGAATCCCACCTTGCCGGTGGGAATACAAAACGGTACAACCTGTTTGAAAAATAATTTAGGAGTTTTTTATAAGTTTAAACATGCACGTATACCTGCCATATGTCCCAGCAATACCAGTCTTAGTTATTTACTCTAGAAAAAGGAAAACTTATGTTCACATGAATGTTGTGACAGCTTTATTCGTAATCACCAAAACTAAAAACAACTTAAATGTCCTTCAATTGGTGAGTAACAAATTGTGGTAGGTGTATACATATGATGGAATACTACTCCGCTACAAAAAAGAAAGCACTGCTGACTCGTGCAACAGTGTGGTTCAATCTCAAAAGCATTACGCTAAGTGAAAGAAGCCAGACTCAAAAGGATGATTCCATGTATATGACATTCTTGAAAACGCAAAACTACAGGAATAGAAAATAGATCAGTGGTTGCTAGGGGCTGCAGAGTTGACTACAAAGGGGAAGTGTAAAGGAATTTTGGGGGTGATAAAACTATTCTGTAATTTACTTGTACAGTGATTACATGATTATGTGCATAGAACTGTATGCAAAAGGGATTAAACTTCACCATATGCAAATCATACCTCAATAAACCTGATATACATGAGATACATGTCTGTGTGTGTGTAAACTACACATACACATATGACACTTTTCAGGTACATGGCTTCTTCCTTTGTCTGAATGCATGTAACTGAACTATAACTGCCTAAAGAAAAAAGGTGCTTAGTGAGATGATGAGCACAATTCTACCTATACCCAGCTACTACTGCCCTGCTGTGTGCTTTTCTCCCCTGCTGCTTGGCTGCCTCGAAACAGTGGTTTGGTTCATCCAAGGTTGGGGTTTTCCCAGGTGTGTAAGACAGATATTCAAGGGGCAGGAGATTTTTGTGTATTTGAGAGAGAGATTAAAATGCTGGGTCATGGATTTTAATTTGGAGAGGGAGGAAAGTGAACAGGGAGTCCAGTGGTTGGAGAAGGAAAAACAGGAGTTGGAGCACTGCAGGTACCTGGTAAAGTTTAAGAACAGTTGCTGTGAGGGTATTTGGCAAAGCAAGCTGGAAGAGAAGCAGGACGTGGATGTAGTGTTGGATGATCCACTGGTGATTTCAGAGGTGACAGTCTGTTTCCCTCACTGGAGAATCAGCTCCTTATCAACAAATGGTTCATATGCAGCTTTTTTGAGCAGAGCTCAGCCAGCCCTCAGTACTGCGTAGCAGCCTAGTCACTATTCTTTTTAAAATTTGCCTGACATATTATGACAACTACAAATATTATAGCCCCCATAAGACAGTGCTATAATTTTTATTTTAAATAAATTAAGAGTATAAAAAATAAAACAAATAAAATAAAATTTATCTGAGAATGGAGAAAAAAAGCTAGGACAGGGCCAGAAATGACTCACAGTCAATATGAGAGAGCCAAATATGTTCAAAGGCTAAAGAGAAGGAGAAAATGCAGAGTCTACCTCTTTGACACCAGGAAGGACTAACGGAAAACAAGTCGAGTCATACAAAGTGTCCAGAAAAGGTTTAGGTCTGCATGCCTGCAAAGCGGGGAGGCTGTCTCTACCTAACAGCTGGGGCCTCAGCAGCTGGCCCTGAGAGCTGGTAATGTCAGGGGACATTCTCGAGCCCCTGGTGGTTATTGCTCATGGGTCAGCGCTCTTCTGAAATAAACTCTAGTCTGTAAATTATGACATCTATAAAACGTTTATGATTGCACTATTCTTTGGAAGTTCTGAAAACCCCAAACAAACTCAAAACAATGTGCAAACATGAATCTTTTCTTCTATTGTTACAAAAGGAAAGTAGAGTGGTTTCCACTCTATTACTGATATAACTGGCATGTAGTTATTCAGCTGGTGGTGCGTGTCCTAAGCTTTAGAAGCAATATGCTGTCATGCCAAGCCCAGGACAGTAGATTGTCAACAAACCCCCAAACTGGGGCTTGCTTCAGACTAGAATGTTTTCTGTCTTTTAGAGAACAAATCCTGTGGAGAACCTGAAGCCACTTAACACCTTTTCCTCTAACAGTTATTTTTCTAGGCTTTGATTTTATCATCTGCTAAAGAGAGACAAGGGAATAAATGAGTGGCTGAAGGAGAGGGAGCAGGCAGGTAGAGCCACTGGACATGGGTGGAGGGCAGAGGCTGCCAAGCTCAGGTCTGCCTCTGGAGGGAAGAGCAGCATCACTGAGGGACGGGCCACTCACAAACACCATCTGAGCAGCTTGACCAGGGGCCCACTTCATTTCCCTTGACTCCCAGAGCTTGGTGCAGTCCAGTGCACACGGTCTTGAGGAAGAGGTTTGATAAATACATGCAGAAATGAATTGTCTTCCATGCTTCTGATATACAAGGCTCAATTGGGTACACACAAGACATGCTAGGAGAGGACGACTCAAATTAGCCACTCACAGCCATGGTGGTTTTCAAAGGATCCCCAGATCTCCAAAGCAGAGCACTGAGACTCAGCCCAGAGGCTGCTAACCCCAAAAGCAAGAACAACCTTGTGAAATCCTAAACTTTTAAAGAGTTAAGAGAACAGAATAAACTAGGAGGAAGATGCCAGGGCTTCCTCCCATTAAATATGAAAATGCTACCATGTTCAGTCAGGATGCTGGAATCATACCAATTAGTTTCTAAGTTTAATTCTCTGGTTTTTGAGAAGACATATCCAAGGGAGCTATTAAAGACCAAAAGGTCTTTGTCAAAATTTTTTAACCTCTAAAGACAATATCCCAGGAGTGGCACCATTTTAGACAGCAAGTTGGCTTCAGAAAACCTTTTTAACCCTTTCTTCAAATGTGATTTAGTAACTGCTTAAAAACAAATTTTTTGTTATTAACCTGACTCCATATACGAAAACTTACCTGTCCTAGGCCCCTTTACTATGGCCCCTCGGAGGGACTAAGTTAATAAGTAAGCTATAACTTCCTGTTAAAGTTTGAACAAATTTTTTGTTATTAACCTGACTCCATATACGAAAACTTACCTGTCCTAGGCCCCTTTTACTATGGCCCCTCGGAGGGACTAAGTTAATAAGTAAGCTATAACTTCCTGTTAAAGTTTTAGTGATTGGTAGCCTGTTACTTTCTTCACAAATTAAACTCACCTGATTTTGCATCTTTTTAACGCTTTCTCTTTTGGTACCATTAATTTGGCACCTTTCATGTTTCTTTTTTTTTGACCGGTAAGGGGATCACAACCCTCGGCACAGTGTGGTCTGCACCACGCCCAGCCGGTGAGCGCACTGGCCATCCCTCTATAGGATTCAAACCCGTGGCCTCAGTGCTACCAGAGCCGCACTCTCCCGAGTGAGCCACGGGGCCGGCCCTCCCTTTCATATTTCTTTACTACACATCACAGATAACCTGGATCACTTATTTATGGATAGTTTAGGTCAGTGTTGCTCAAAGTGTGTCTGTGTGCCATCTCTGCCCCTACTCCTTGAGGAATGGGGTGCATGCTGAAAATGCAGATCCCCAAGCCTCACCAGTGACCAATGAATCAGATTCTCTAGGGGCACCTTTACCATGCTTCCCAGTTGATTCCTCCTTCTACTAAATCAGCAAACATCACGTGATATCTACACACAGTAATATGGTATACAGGTTGCTGTAGACTGGATGCCCCCCCAACCTCACTGAAGCTTATTATATCTCTTATTATATATTATTATGCTAGTTGAAAGGTGGGGCCTTGAAGAGGTGATTAGATTGTAGGCCCGTGCCCTAGTGAATGGATTAATAATGGTGGTCAAGGGCACGGTTCTGGGGGCTTTATAAGGAGAACACATGAGAAGTCTCTGTTCCCTCTGCTCTGCCACTTTTGCAATATGATACCTGCAATTACTGTCATCACCACCAAGGCTCTCACCAGATGTGTTCCCTGGACTTTGGACTTCGCAGGCTCAGAAACTGTAAGTAATAAATTTCATTTTCTTGTAAATTACCCAATTCTGTGTACTTTGTTATAAGCAATAGAAATGGACTAATACACAGGTGCTGAGTATCAGAATAGATATGAAAATCTCAAATACAATTAACAGCCCTACTTACTTATAAAACAGATTCATATCCAAATATTAAAAGGACTATAAAGTTGGCCAACCATGTGTGAAAGCAGGGGGTATAGGAGAAATTTTTGTATCTTCCTCTCAATTTTGCTGTAAAAAATAAAATATATTTTTTTAAAAAGCTGGCCTAACTAAGAGCAGATGAACATGTGCTTCACTGACTGTCCTTCCTCTTCATGGGTCACCTCCTTTTACCCTTCACTCATTTTAGCCTAATCTCCTCTGTGAAGCCCCAAACTTGTGTGGCAGAGCCGAAAGCTGATTATGACAATATTTGAGCATTTACACCCTACACTGTGACCAAATAGTACATGTCTTGTTCACTGCTGTATTCCTTTCCCCCAACACAGCATATAGAACTTCATAGATATGCAATGTTTGCTGAATGACTAAATGAGTGAATGAACAAATGATACTGCCACTAAGATTAACCACAGATGAAGTGTGTTGGGAGGATGGATGTAAAAAAATGGCTGAACCTCTCCTTTCACACACACACAGATATCCCATCAGAGTCACCCTTTCTCCTCTCTCTGGGGCACAGAAATCAAGGTACTCATTTATTCCATCTGTTGCTGTGGTCAATGATCTGAATTGATAAATTAACGACTTCCAGTCCTATTAGACAAAGGAAGCAATGGACACAGCCATCTGAAGTATGCACCAGTAGTGTCTAGGAGGAAAACAGAAGCCACACTGGGTATTTCAGACAGAGGGGATTTAACGCAGGGAGTTGATTACACCGGTTCGGTAATGCTGAAAGAAACCCACTGAGACAGCTCGATATCAGTGAACACAGGAAGCAGCTACTAACCTTAGGGCTGGGGAAACAAAAGGGAAAAGACGGTGTTACCAGAACCTAGAAGCTTTGACGGGGGACCCCCCACGGCTGGCGCCCGGCCCTCTGAGGGGGCTGCTGCGCGGCTGCTGCTTGGCCTTCTGAGGGGGGCGCTGCTTGGCTGGCGGTGGTCGGACCTCTGGGCGGGGGCGTGGCGGACGCTCAGACCTCGGAGGGGACCGTGGCTTGGCTGGTGCTCTGACCACCGCGGGGGGCGCAGCTGGCTGTTGCTTGGGCCTCTGAGGGGACGTTGCACGGCGGCTGGTTCTGAGAGGGCCAAAAGAAGCTGGAGGCTGGAGCCAGGGCTCTCCTCTGCTGCTTAAGGGATGCTGGCAGGAGCTGGAAACAGGGAGGAAGGCCCTGCTCCCCCTCCCACCTTCCAGTCTCCCTCTAGTGCCTGCCAGTGTCGGAGTCTAACAGGGGCCGACTGTCAGGGGATTGGGGAAGAGTGGTTTGCAGAGCCCAGCCCCAGCATCACACAGCAGAGCAGGAAGCGTAGGCTTGGAGCTGAGAGACCACAGGCCAGTGCTTTGCCGGGTGCTGAGTGCGCAGCGCGACCACTCACCTGGTCTTCTGGCAGGCACAGCAGATCCAGTCCTCCTCTTTCTTCTGGTAGAAGCAGCCACTCTTACAGATGCTGTATTTCCGATCCACAATCTCACGCTTGGAGTTGAGGAAAGTGAACGGCGGGCAGCAGTGTATGCTGAAGTGCTCGGAAAATTTCTGGTTCTTGGAGAGTCTGGGGCCCTCCTTAACCGCCTTCTGACTCATCTCACTGGAAGTCATTGATGCAGGGAGAGGCGGGAGACAGAAAACAGCAGGTCAGGCAAGGGGGCTGTAGTCCAAATTAACATTCAGGGATGTCCTGCAGAACAAAAATCTGGAAGATCGATTTCCTGCCCAACTCTATGGAAAATAACTAAATTAAGAGTTCATTGTTCCATTGTATATATATATGCCACATTCTCCTTATCCAGTGTACCCCACAAATATGTATAATCAATTGTTTCAATACGAGTTTATTAATTTTATTTGTATATTTTTTAATAGTGTTTTTTAAGAGAAAGAGGAATACAGACTTTCTTTATGTTTTAGAGACCCATATAAGAAAGGAAAAATATTACAAAACCAAACATATCCTTGGCAAAATAATATTCTAAATTTAGGAACCCTTTTCTCTAAAAAGCAAAGGACAGTTTATTATTAAAACCATAATCACTACTCATACAATAAAATGCTACACAACAACAAGAAAGAACAAAGTAATGATACGCCCATCAACATATTTGAATCTCACAAACATAAAGTCGAACAAAAGAATTCAGACACAAAAGAATACAAGCTGTATGATTCATTTTATATGAGGTTCAAAAACAGGCAAATATCCATGGTTCTGGACAGCAGAGCATAATTATGTTTGGAGAAAATGGGGTCTAAGAAGGAGCACCAAGGAGGCTGCTTGGGGCTGAAAATGTCTCTTCTAAGAATGTTCTAGGAAATTCTAGGAATTGCAGGGATGCAGAAATAGTCCTACCTAACACTTCAAAACACTAAAGCACACAGGGGACTTAAATGACTCTTCATCGACAAGAGTCAACAAATATGCACCAGTCATGGATACATATTTAACACTGAGAATGTCCCTGCGCTCAACAAACTCAAGGTCAAGTTTGGAGACACAGACATACAACATGTAATTGCAAAATAGTGTTGTGTTGACCAATAGACGTGTGTACAAAGTTCAAGGAAAGCATGGAGAAGGGATGGATTCTTTGAAGACAGAACATATGATCTGGGTTTTTAAGGATGAATACATTAAAAACAACTGAATTACATTAGAAGAGAAACTTCCAAATTTTCAGAAAGAGGAGATGATCAGAGTTATCCAAAGAAGCCCTTTATCCAAACAGACATTTATAGACCAATGAGAAACTACAGCTGATTTATAGGGTCTGATTCATTGTAAAGACCCTAAAGATCTGCCAAATCCCTATCCAAATCTTACAAGTGTCTCAAAGTTCGGATCAAGTTTCTCCTGCTGTGGTAAATAATAAAGTGAAACACCAGGATTAACCTGCAAGAGCAATTTATTCAGGCACCAGGCACATGGAGACTGTCACTCAAATTTTCACAGGTAACCCAGACATACCCAATCCCTCCAGCCTTCTGGAGTCCTCTTTATCCAAGTGGCTCAGGCACCCAACTACATAGATGAGAACAGTATGTAAGGCATGGTCCTGTTTTTTTTATTAACTACATATTTATAGGTAAATATTCTCAAAGAAAAGAATGTTAAAATATTTTACAAATTGTTAACTATGAGGTAAGAATTCAGGAATTCGTATTACTTTCACTTATCCAAGTTTTCTGATTTTCAACAGTGAGTACAGATTTTTAAATCTACTGAAGGAGTGGAGGGGGAGGAGCTGTGGAAGTACCTGTGGGCCATCCTCCCTTCAGCACCCAGCTCAAGTTTACATTCTAGTCCCCCATGGTGAGCCTTCTTGCTCTGGTGGGGAAGTCCTGTCCACCATACTGTGAAGTCTCCAAACTCCATTCTCTACCATTCCCTTCTGGAGTGATCTGTTTCCCCAACTTTCAGTCTTTTTCACTCTCAGACATAGACCCATGGGTCTATGAAGCCTTACCCCTTCCCTGGGCCCATCTCCAGTCCCCAGAAGTCCAGTCTGGGCCCAGCATCTGGACACCTGCTCCTCGAGAGGAGGGCTGAGTACAGGAAGTGCAAAGCAGTGGTGGACTGGTCAAAGAGCTCGGGATATTGGAGTCACACAGAAATGGAATCAAATCCCCTGTCTGCCTCTTACTGGCTTTCTGAACTTGGTCAAGTTCCTTAGCCTTTCTCATATTTAGTTTGTTGACCTTGATGCCATATTATAAAAATGAGATAAAATATTTAAAGCAACCACCACACAATAGGTGCTCAGCAAATTTTACTTCTTTTCCCTGCTGTTAGTTGTTTGCCTGTATTTACGACTAATTTACTCATAATCCTGATGTGTTGGGAAAGGATAACTCTTGTATGTTGGTATTGTTTAGCATGTGGGGTTTAGCATTTCTAAACTGGTGGGTGGTGCGGGACAGAGAACTGGGAAGACAGTATTTACAACCGATTAACTAAGTACCTCAACTAAATGCTGTTATTTCTGCTATCAGGGAAAGAGCCAGTAGTACAAAACCCTTCTAAAAACATAAATATTTTACTAAGGGAAGGGGGGAAATGTTATTTTAAAAGTTGGATGAATTTTCAGCTTTCTGCCCTAGGACAATAGCTGGGTTCTTCCAGGGAAGAGAATTGCTTTTTTCCTTAGGACCACGCATTGATGAATAACGAGAGGAGAGGCTGCCCCCTGCTGGACATGGTGGGGAAGGCGAGTAGGGAGGGAAGCTGTCATGGAATAGAAATAGGGCTGGGCAGGCGTCTGGATGGGCACAGAGTGGGCCCAGGGATCCTGTCAGCTGGAACAGCGAGTGGGAACTAAGATTCAGCTGCAGCGGAAATTCTGAGTATAGCCGACTTAAAATCTCCCCCTTAACCCCGTGCCAATCATTTCTTCGAAAGCTGGAGCCACTACTAGATTATCTTTTATCTGTGATGGGTGCCTGAGGTAATCTACTTCATTATATGATTTTTTCAAAACCAAGTTCCTGGTTTTCCTGTCTTTGCTCTTTTTAACTAGTTGATTGATTTTTGTATGTGCTTATTATTCCTTCAATTTTCTTGAGGTTTATGTTCTTGCTCTTTCTCTCTTTTCTTGAGTCAAATGCTTCTCACTTGCAATTTTCCATTAAGTGCAACGTTAGCTGCATTCCTCAAATATTAACATAAGTTTTTCATTTTAAATATGGTTGTTCTTCGATTCATCAATTATTTTTTTAAATCTGTTGTAAAATTTCCAAATGTATGCAGTTATTTTTGGTACATTGACTTCTAACTTTAATGCATTTAGTCAGAGAGAGTAATCTGTACAGTAACTCCTTGATATTTTTTGAGATTTGCTTTATGACCTAGTATATAGTCAATATTTTTAAGTGTTCCACCTGTGCTAGAAAGATCGTGTATCTCTAAAAACAATTTGGTATTATCTAGTGAAGATAAAGGAGTGTACAAACCACAGTCTAGAAATTTATTCCTGGATGCAGCAGCCGTCTGAGACCATGGCTAAACCTTGCAGTTGAAGCCACGTGGTAGAGCAGAAAGACTGGGAGCCTGAATTTTTGATGACTGCAGAGTTGCTGTTCCAGGCTTGGACTCTTGAACTCTGAACACCCTTTACATGAGAGACGGACAAACTTCTACCTTGTTTAAATTATTATTATCTTGGTTACAAGCCAACTAATAAAATTTCTCATTGATATGCTCAGTTTCCTCATCTAAAAGAAAAGAATAACAAGTAATAATAATAATATTTAACTCAGAAGGCCTTTGAAAGTATTAAATAAAAAGTAGATAAAGAACCGAACCTAGCACTGTAGCTAATGCAAATAACTTGCTTAACAAATTCTACTTCCCTTTCACTGACCTGTCTAATTCTGCTGAATTCTTTAGACACACTCTATTTATCTCACTGTGTATATCTGGTGACATTTAATTTAAGCGTTAATCACATCTTTATTTACTTTAGTAGCTAAAAACAAATCATTATGAACACTACATGACATTTTCACAAAAGATACCATCTAATTGCAGAGCAGGGATAATTAGGAACTGTCAGTCAGGATGAAGAGAAATAAAACTGGATTTAAAACTGTAAAATATCTTCTCCAGGCTTTCCAAATGTTTCTACATAATCTAAAAGTAAAGAGGAAAGAAAAGTGAGGCAAGTATTTGAAAAAGGAGAGGGAAGTGAAGAAGACCGAAAGGGGGGAGAACAAGACCCTCCCCCACTACCTATTGAGCACCTACTGTGTTCCAGATGCTTTCTATCTGTCCCTCGTAACTCCGCAAATAACCTTTCCAGGTAGTCCCTCCTATCCCCATTTTACAGATGAGGAAATTGAGACCTGAAGAAGTCAAGTAAGCTTTCCAATATCATACAATAATAATTTTTAAAAATGAGCAAACTCATAATGATGAATATGACTAGTCACCTACCCAGTATTCATGCTCCCCTTCTTCAACGACAAACCTGGATTTTGTTTGGCAGTGCTATATGCCTTGTTAAATACACACAATGCCCCATGTGACCATGCTCTAGCCAATAAGATGTAGGCAAAAGTCCATGGGGGAAATGATCTTTCTTTAATAATAAGGCTTTTTATTCAAGAAGGGATTTTCCCTTGGTAAGTGCGTACAGCCCAACCCAGCTGTTCCCAGCCCCAAAGAGGTAGGAGTAGTTCAAGCCTTTGGACCTTGTCCCATAGAGTTCTTTCCCCCTGCTTCCTTCCCACCCAACAATTGCACAGCAAATGCCTCCACTGCCTTGACGCTCAGCTCAAAGCCAAGTCACTCCTTGAGGAGCCTTTCCAGAGTCTTCCTTTCCCCAAAGAGTAATGATGGTGCCTTCCTCCTATGTGCCGTGATCTTGTGCACTGTGCATAATTCTAAGAGAACATCTAGAAACTTTAGTGCTATCCTTACATCTTCTGTCCTTAGAGCCTTGTTCAATGTCTGATTCAGAACTAGTGTTCAGTAGATGCTTAATTAAAAATGAGAGAATGAATGAAGATGTCTCTTACAATAGCTGCAGAGCCCTTAGCTGCTTGCCGACTGTCCCCAGATGCTCTCTACCAGTTCCCTGTCTCATTAGGGAACTC